GGGGGGGGGGGGGGGAATTAGGGTAGGAACCACTTTCGGACCCAACATGTTCAATGTCATTTGAACCAAAGTGTTTAAACTTTTATAGCTTCATCCATTTTAGAATGAATAAATTAGTCCATACTAGTTTTAAATTTTATTTTCATTACATAGGACACATTTACTTCAATTATCATATTGGTCATTTCCCCAGTTGAACCCTTTCTGTCTTATGTCAAATTTTTAATTGAAGATCTCTTCTCTTCAACTGTCCACCTCACCCTGCATCTCAGATTCATTACTGAATTACTGGTTATGTTACATAGAAGATAGAACTTAGTCAATATACAACTGAGTAACAGAAATTTAGTAAGCTGATGGTCATTTACAGTATCTGACGCTTCAAGTTAACAATGAAGATATATTTGTGTAATAGAGCTGAGATTTTAATTATTGTCCAAGACTTGTGATTGTAAGGGATTTTTCTCCTGAACCATTTCAAAACTTGTTAATGTATTTTCATTTATTTTTGGTAACCTTTGCTTTGGGCTCATAAATTCTTGGTACAAATGAGGAGTTCTGCAATCTGCAGGTATATGCTATCCGAAGAAGGAAAGGAAATTGCCCGCGAGTGTCTATCAAGATCTGGAATTGTAGCGTCTGATGAGCGTCTGGACATAATAATGGATGAGTTTTCAAATTTGGATGAGAAGGTAGCTGAAGACGAGGAAAGCTCAAAAAAGCAGCTGTCTAATTTTTGTTTTGAAAGAGAATTTCTAACAAATGAAGAAACATTGCTCCCTCTTCAATTAGATGGACAGAAGAAAGCGATTGATATTCCGCCTGAGTGTCTCAGCAGAGTAATCCTTGTCCCCATGATTCCTAGCTTTATGCATTCACATTCTTCTCACACGCTTCTTCCTTTTTTGAACTTCTCTATGTGGCTCTTTTACTAGGGAGGGGGTTTAAGATAACACCTTTTCTTATAATATATATTATACAGAGTATTATATATTGTATTGTATTGATATGGAACAAAAGAAATGAACAGAAGTCAATGTCTAAAAATTATGCTCTTTTCTTCTTTCATATTTTAAGCTTTTACTTTTGCCACACCGACACTTTCAAATTTAGCGAGACTATTGTCATATTTCTCTTGCGAGTTCTTATTCTCTTCCTTATATTGCTTTTAGTTTCTGTTTAACAATTTGACGTTAATTGTTACTTGTAGTTTGTGGGCATGGGATTTTCCATGGAACAAATTAATCGTGCTTATTGTAAGGCTTCTGAGGCCGCACATGGCAGGGAAGTTTCATCACTTTGGCCTACTGTTCTATGCTACCTTCGAGAAGATCAAATCTATGGTTGGTTTATTTCTTTTCTTTCCAAGCTATATAATAGCTCACAGATAAGATGTGTATGCCCGCACTGGCACTGTAATTGGATATCATTGTAAATTTATTTAATACAAAGTAGCAAGTACTTGCCTCTCTACTTTCAATTAGGGGTAAAGTCTGTGCACACACACTCTCCTTAGACCCTACTTTTGTGGGATTCTAGTGGGTTGTTGTTGTTGTAAAGTAGTAAGTACCTATGGAAATGGTGGAAAACCCTGAGTTTAATTGCAATAACCGATTGTCAATGTCTTCTGATGAGCAGGCCCAAATTCTACTATAGTCGAGGACATAGCCGTCGAGTCTTCTTTTAGGGGATCATATGTTGATCTAAAGTCCTCTACTTTTTCTGGTTTCACACAGAATTCAGCTCCAATCAAATCCTTTCCATCAATGGTGAGTTTTTTTTTTTTTAAATTTTGTGTGTGTAGACAAGACTTTTTATCTTGAACATGTCTGATAAAATGTTTAATCTTTCAAGTGCTTATGCCACAGGGAAGTGAATGGGTTTCATTTTGTTTGAGTGCAGCAATTTCTGATCAACAAACTTTGGGAAGATAGAAATGGATATATTTTTTTGAACCGAAAGCACATTGTTATTACTCCTCAAACCATAACAAATCACAGTTTTTACATCCAATTTTTACATCAAAGTTTTTTTTATAAATAAGGAAACTTCTAACATGAAAATCAATATGTTCTATGGTTTCCTCCTCCTTGATCTCCTTGTGGTGAAGCTTACCATTCCTTATTCTCCAAATGCCATAACACCATGCAGCCCAAACTGCCCAGCATATACCTCTCTTCCTTTTGTCTTTAATATTCATCGTCACATCTCCAATCTCCAATGGATATTACTATTTATAATCATTTGAGTTTTAAATCAAGACTTTCGTGTTCACTGCACAGGGCATGTGATTTGTATGCCTTGGATTTGATTCTCTTTGTCAACTTGTATTGTAGGCTCTTTGCGTAAACAAAAATGGTGGAGTTTCGGAAACTAAATCTAGTATGTTATCAATGCCACCTCTGATGCATAAAGAGCGGTTTGAAGATGTTTATGATGTGCTTTTGGTATTAGATGATCGAGAGCAATTTGTTAGTCAAGGGTGAGTGTTCCATCCCTAATAATATTCAGTTTTTAATTGAATTCTTAGGGCAGTCATTCACTCATTTGCATTTGGTTTGGGGCATGCTGCCATGCTAGGGAAAGAAAACCTACTCATATTGTTTCTTATGTTATTGATGCACCAGATGACAAATAAATCATCATATAAGAATACAAGATTAGATGTCTGACAAACTTTTCACTAAACAAGTACAATTAAAATAGTACCAAAGGGTGGTACCCAAATAGATGCGCAATACTCTTGGAGCTACCAAGTCATGCATAAGCAATCTTTCTTAACAACTCTATTGTGTATTTGTGAAAGCAGGGGTTTGGAGATGCATTCTTGTAAATCTCTTCAGAACGTTTCTTTATCAAAGAAAATGAGACAAACTGATTGTTTTCATTTTAACCAAAAACTTCTTTTGTTTGATCTTTGAAGATATATTGCAACCACTTTCCTTTCTTCTCTATCAGTTACATGTTTCTTATACTCTTGAACGGGAGCCTTGGCCCAACGGTTGAGTATTGCTGTGTGACCGTGTGGTCACAGGTTCAAGTCCTGAAAGCAGCCTCCTGTAGAAAAAAAGCCGTGTAAGGTTTGCCAACATTACACCCTTGTGGTGGAACCCCTCCCAGGACCCTTGTTCGTGGGGATGCTTTGTGCACCTGGCTGCTCTTCCTTAGACTTAGAGTGAAAAACCTTTCTGCATGTATTAGTGGTCTAATGTGACAAATTCACACCCGTCAATTTTCTAGATAGCGTTATAAACTTTTACAATCATATTTCTAATTTCAGGTTGCGTTCTAGGAAAATTGTTGAGAACATCAAAATGCAATTTAATATTCAAATTGAGGTGAGTCGTAATGTCTTAGCTCTCTTTCCGTTGTATGTTTTGATTGTTTTCATCATTTAGCAACATGCTTTATTTATATCATTGGAATCTTCAAATATCCCCTTTAGACACTGTTTTTAGGGATTTCAGTTAGCTTAGCGTGTCTAAAGTGAAGACTAGATAGATGTGTGAACAATTGGACATGTTCAATGAGTATAGACACCCCCTATTGTGCTTTTGATAAATCAGTGACAACATTTGAGATACTAAAAAAACAATGGTAACCAAATAAAACTATTAAGATGGAATTTCATCCTAAAAGGTCAACATATTAGGATGTGTAGTCCATTCACTACGGAGTACTATGCAAGGTACCATGCTACCCATAGTTATCACGGTGCCAAGTCGAGGCGCGACGTTGGAATACTGCCAGGACAGCTAGTCGACTACACATAATATAGGAGACTTGCTATACATTAAAATATAGGAGAATTGCTATACATTAAAAATACTAATATAAATATTTCAAATTATATATTGTAGTTGGTAAAGTTTAAATTTTTCTAATATATCAAAGTTTAACTACCAAAGTTACTTTTAAGTACTTTCCTAAAAAAATAAAGTTGAAAAAAAGTGTTACCAACTTAAGTTGGTAATAAATTAATCATTTAAAATTTTAAAAATTAAGCACCTAGTATTAATAAGGAAGATAAAGTAGAAAAAAACATTAACTTGCAAATAAACTAATTTATAAAGCATTACAAAAATAAAGCACGGGAGCCGGGGGTTTAAAACACCTAAAAAAATAAAGCACTAGAGTAAAAAACAAAAGTATTGGACTAGGCAAGCCAAGGCGACGCCTAGTCGAGGTATGCAAAATAAGGCAAGGCGATCTCTCATGGCGAGTGTAGAAGGGCGCCTGGACGCCTAGACGACGACGTGATAACTATGTTGCTACCACCCAAAGACTGGTAATTTGTCCATTTGCTGGCTTTCTATGTACAAATTGCTCTCCATATCTTGTTATCTAAATCAGTAGTTGGCCAACTTGGCTTTGGTCTAGTCATGCTGATCAGTGCGATAGATGGATCTTTGTGGTTTATCAATATCAAATTGGTACCATTTGTAGGAACAAACAAAAAGTCATTTCCCATCATCACCCTTGTCTTGCTCCATTGCTCCTGCAGCTCAACCCTTTCCCAGCCAAAAGAAGTTTCAAGCATGTCATCCCGAAGAAAGGAGAGCACAATAAACGTATCAAATATAGGTTGCTCAGACCTTTTGTATGTCCAGGCAAGAACTAACTTGCTGAAAGAAGGATCATGTTCCCCATGGGGAGATCAACCATCTCCCCTTTCACCTTCCTCTTCATGCTCATCCACACCTCACTGTTTCAGCCATGACACTGACTAAACAGTGAGTGCCCAGTTCAACTCGAGGACTTGTTCGTTGAATCCAGGACCAAAATCACAACCTGGACTATTTTCGTTCTATGTAGGCATGTTCTTGAACCCCCAATCGTAATCAATGTCATGTAAGTTACACTTCCGATCATTGACAATCCAAGGCAAGCATATACTGTGCCAAAAGAAAGGATGATTCATGGGAGAGGCACTCAACCAACCCACAACTCAGGGAGTGTACTAAGAAAGTACAAGCAAATGAACTCTTCGGTTGGGGCTATAAGTCTTATTACCCAGCGAGATCTGCCCACAATCTCACATCACTATGTAAAAGTGTGAAGGAGTCCGTCAATATTGGGAAGTCAAATCTCAAGTGGGAAAAAAGAGCATGACTCCCATTACGCTTCTATGCCATTGTCTGATACTCCCGATCTCGGATGTTCCTTAAATTGACTGTCTAGTGAAGATGGGAAAATCAATAAACTGATGTAATCTCCGAGAATAAGTTCTACCCGAGCAAACTAGTTTCTTGCGATCAATAAAACTACTTCACAAGTATTTCAATAAAACTACTTCTCGGATGTTCCTTATTATTATTATTATTATTATTATTATTATTATTACCTCGTATTATCAAGTTTTTTCCAACTTCTTCCAGTTTATTCCAACTCCTTCCATTTTCTTCCAACATTCAACTCTCGTTTTACAACTCAAACGAACAGAGCCTAAAAGGTTAGTTATTCGAAATTGTATGGTTAGAACAAGTTTACTAGGAGAGACATTGACCACGGTAACTTTTGGATTAGGGTTGGATGCCCTTGTAACCTTTGCCCGACCTCAACATCCTTAGGGTTGGTAGTTACCCCCTTGGGGTTCAACAAACTCCTCAAGACCTTATCAGTTGGGGCCACATTGATTGTCTTGGCAAGTAATATGAATTTATCACTATCTGCAAAAAGGAATGATTAGAACAGGTTTACTATATCAAATGAAATAAAGAGTTAGGGTCAAAATTGAGACTCCTACCTGATGTGCTCGACATCAAGAGAACACTTTCTGAACCATTGAGTGCTCGAGGGACCATCCATCGTCTTCAGTAGTTCAGTATACCCCTCTTCTTCCAACTATTTGTTTCTTTCCTTGTCTAGGGATGTCTTTCTAAGAAAGGCTTATTTGGTGAGCAGAACAATGATTGAATGAGTTCATATTTGGAATTCTGGAGGAATGAAATAAGTCTAGAACATGGAACATCATTGTTTGAAGAACTTGAACAAAACGAAAGATATTTTTTCATGTAATGGAGGTGGCATCGGTGGCAATCTTGACGACAATGTTGGCGGGGGTATGTACAATAATTGCAGGGTTTTAGACACCCCAAATGAACCTCCCATACTAGGTGGTGTTCTAGACACTGTCAAATGAGTGTGTAGAAGCCTGGGTTCAAGTTACAACCCTAATTTCAGCCCCCCAGTAAGAACATGAAAGCTCCACTAGTCCAATCTTTTCTATCTCACCAAACAACCTTTAAGTCTTCCTCATCGAGTGGATACCTGTGCTCCTTCATCTTTGTGCTCCACTTTTTCAGGAAATGCAAGTGTCCCAGCAACTCCAGTAAGAATATCTTGGACTTCGAGGCTTAATTTTATTTTGGAGGTCATATCTGAAATTGTGGTCTTATAAGGACTACATCTACAAGTAACAAGCTTACATGACATCTTCCATAAACAAGTAGTTAGAGAGTTGGACACCCTAGGCACAAGTACTTGAAGAGTTGGACACCCTAGAAACAAGCGAGAAAGTGATAGCTATCATGACCACCTGTCCGGGCTTGACCCATAAGTACAGAGAAGGAATCAGTGGAGTCATTGTGGAGATTGGAGACTGACCTGTGCCATCGTGAGGCTCTTCTATGCTCGACCATTTTGACCGGTGCTCGTTAACAAAACCAACCTTTGTCCTAGACACCATTCCTGAAGCTCCATCTTGGTCAAGTGAGGTCGGATTGAGAGAAGCTGTTCTTTATAGAGCCACGGTCCACAATAACCTACATGTGTTGTGCTGAGGATTGTTTGCAACTGGAGAAAGGTTTTTGGTCAGAATCTGCTGCTTCCGGTTCGGGCATTGTGACAACCAAATTTTGTGAGGGTCCGGTAAAAAAAGGGTCTGGACAAAGGTTCAACGACTGATCTTCATTGTAGGATTTTATTTTTCATGCACTATGGGCAAAATCGTAGGAAAGAGCGGAGGAAGAAGTAGAGTTGGCAGAAGTTATAGGCTCAGACTCAGAGCCATCGTAGATGTGAGCCCTCCTTTCGCTATTGTTGCCTCTGCAACAAACTATCTGTAGGAAAAGGAGTGAGCAATGAACTCGAAGTCAAAGAAAATGTTGAGTAGAAAACAAACATCTTTCAAGAGGGTCGGATGCATACCTGAAATAGATAGCAAGTTGCAGCGAAAAGGCCGAACTGTAAGAAGCTTTAATCACCCAGACAATTCTGATTCAAAGGAGTGAAGAATTGAAAGGAGCAGCAGTGTATTTATAGGAATTCCTCAGCCCTGGCCGAGCGGGTTGAGAACCGTCTCAAACTGTGCACTGCCAACCAACCTGTGTGACGCAGGGCATGTCATCATTACATTCAAGGGACGACTGGACTCTCAAGGACCAGCTGTAAGACCTCCATTGTTGCGCATGAATGGCTCTCTATTTCCCATATTCCTCTATCAACTCACTGTTCCCACAAAGTCAAAAAAGAAAGAAAGAAGAGACCTGCTAGAGGAGAACATCTTGAAGACCATAGAAGTCCAGTTTCTAGATGAAGTACTTCATGCTTCCAAAGACCTTGTGATTCACACATATCATGACGTGGAGAGGCCTCCATGATGAGAAATACCGTCTGGGCCAAGCGGCTGTCCAGTTATACGCCCAAGCGACCTCCAACATTTCCTGTTTTTGGACTTCTGGTGTCTCTTGATTTTGGTCTGGGCTGAGTTGACCAGTGGCTGGTCCTGCCCAGACCATTTGGATGCACGGCAAAAGACAAGGCAGCATACCACATGAAGTACTTCCTCCTTTATGAGGACAAGGGAGTGAAGGGACTGAATTTTGGACATCTTAAAGAGAGAAGCTTCACTATGGCACCACCAACTCTAGCTCTTAGTTATCACTTTCTCATACTGTTTAGGCAGCCATCCGGCATTTTTGGACCCCACCTTGCCAATGTGGATGGAGAGGTCACATTCATGTCACAAAAAGAGCACATGGGTGTCATTATTCATCTTTTCCATCATAGAAAGCCCCAAACAGCTTCCACCTTCAAGCCATATTCCTGTAGTGCAACTGCGATCCTCAGTACATCTGGGGTCTTACAAACATAATGTAAAAGGAAATATAAAAATGTAGCTATTAGGCATATCAAATTTAGATATGCCAATTGTCAAAATATTACTACCTCATCCTTGTATTATCTTTGTTTTACTTTTTGGGATGTCCGATAATGATCTGTATTTCTAAAAGGAAACAAATGTGTGCCGATACTGTTTCACTCCTTTCAACCACACTTCTTAATAATGTGCTCGGTCAAAAGTCAAAACCTTAAGTTTATTAGTGTATAGATATACTGGCAGTCTGTGGATTTGGGTATATTAGTGTATAGATATCTAAACTGACACAAAAAAATTTTTAAAACAAATAATCTCAACTCTCTATTTACAATAATAGGTTAGGCGGTTACCTGTTGGCGATGCAATCTGGATAGCTCGGCACAAAATTACTGGAGGGGAATATGTTCTTGATTTCATTGTGGAGAGGAAGAAAGTTGATGATTTGCGTAGCTCAATTAGAGACAATCGATATAAAGATCAGAAGTTACGGCTTTTGGTATGTTGCTTTCCTTGTGCAGTTATACCTATTTTTCCTTTAACTAATTCTTCACGAGGGGCGAGGTTTGCGTACACACCCTCCCCAAACCCTACTTTTGTGGGATTTTACTGGGTTATTGTTGTTCTAATTCTGCATTCATCCTGATCTGAAACTTTAATCTGCGTTCATACAATAAATGCATTTGCATATGCATTTGAAATTTGAATCCTGCTCTCGTTTTTCTTCTTTCTTCTCTACTGGAGGTCACAATTCTAGATCTTCTTAATTGTTTTTTCCATTGGAATTTGGAAACTACAATAGAATCTTTTTATATATGTCAGCAGTTTGCTACTATTTGATTGTTTTTTGGAATTTATATCTAGAAGTTATGCTAACTATAATAGTTCTTGGTTTTGTATCACTCTATGCAAGAGATGTGGGCTAAAGAGGAGGATATATGTGGTGGAGGGAGATGTAAATTTATCGGAAGCTGCTGAATGCATTAAAACAGCGTAAGTGTTTTTTTAATTACTGCTATAAGGATTACTAGCTCTGAAATATTGAAATATCACCAAGGTTGAGATTGAAACAGTTCTAAAATTAACCGTCTTTTCCCTTTAAGACAAATATTGAGATTTGAGAAAAAATAAAATAAAGTCAGTAGTACTAATAAAAATTCTTTGTTAATCTTATTAATGTGAACTTTACAATGATTAAATATTGCCTTGTATGACCTCTGTAAATTTTGGTTGCAAGATGTTTATGAGATTTTTTTTATGAATCAATCTAATATTATCTGTATTTACTATAGAGTAATTCTTTAATGTTGTGTATAAAAAAATTACATCTTAATATGAGACTACAAAGTTTGCTAAGTAAAACTCACACTCCCTCTATCTTTAAATTTTCTTTGCACTAACCTATTTTTCCAGTTTCAAGTTTATCTTCGCAAATTCTTTAAGGAAATAATTGTTTGGTTCATATTCTCTTTCCCTTTGAGTCCTTAATAAATTTCAACCACAATTCTCTTTATTAATATGTGTCCATGCAGGAAACTGGAACCTAATTTGGAGATGGAGGAAGTACCTTGTAATTAGTCTATTTTAGAACAACTGTATTTTATTGTCTCTCTGTCCTTCAAAACTTTGTTAACTACACTTTTTTCATTCATCTCAGAAACTTCTTGAAATTTTCTTTTAAGGAAATAAATTTATATTTCGTACTGTTTTCTCTCTTTTCTTAATAAATCTCAACCAGAATTTTCATTTCATTTCTTAATGTTTTCGGTCAAACTTGAAAGTTTTGTGGAACGGATTGAATAAATTTTACTTAATAAGGGCACTACTTCCTCTATCCCAAATTAAGTTTGCTATTTGACTTTCTATGGTCTTCAATGTTTCATTTTTGCCCAACTTTATTTGTATTTAAATAAATCTTAGAAAAACATGTTACCTCAGAGTATTTCAAAACTACATTTCAATATTGATCTCATATATTAAATTCATATTAAAACTCAATTTACTTTATCCACAAAACTTAGTCAAAGTTAGCACACTTTGACCAAGAAAAGTCAAACATGCAACTTAAATTTGGACAAGGAGATACGTTATAAGTCTTTTTGACTTGTCCAGAGTACTGTTTGATCATTTTTAATTCAAAATTGCAAATGAAAAGTCCTTTGCAGACCATTTTCCTTACATCTTTTTTTTAATGAAAAACTCTTGGCAGTTGTTTTACGACTGAGATCTTAGATGGATTCAATGTGCAAAGAACAGCTGGCTTGGGAGAGACATTAAGGAATTATGGCTATCTTACTCAAGCAATATATCATTACTATAAATCAATGGACTATGAGCATCATAGTCTTGAAATATGCCCTCCCTTTGGTTCATTTATTAGGAAGTGTGAAGATCTAGAAAAAGTGACTGTTACCGATGTATTTGCCATCCAACTCATGCAGGTATGTATTTAAATTAGCACATGTTTGTTAACATTTGAACCTGAAAATGAACAACTTCTCTTTTATTTACTCCTTAGTCCTTAGGATTTCAAACTGGTAAACATAGTTTATTTCTTCCACATGTCTATAGAAAACTACTTATATCATGTAGAAATAAGAGGAAACCATATATTCTATTGATGCATATAAAGTTTATATAGAGAACTTAAGCTAGTTAAACAAGATGAACTAGGCACTAACTAGAGCACATATTAACTAGAACAATGTGATCTAACTATTGATATTAGAAGATGGCCTGCGATTTATCTGCTAATAGTGTTGCAATAATACTATTTTCCAGAATGGGTAATGGGAATCTGCACAAAGTTAAAGGGTGAGAGTTGTTTCCACCAAACTGTTGGATCGTAAATATATGGTGTAGCGGTATCTCTAGCATTGTCACTATATAAAATTTAAATTTGTTCTTTTACTTGCTATATAATTTCAAAAAAATTGGAATAGCTCAAAGTTCTCCTTTGTAAAAAAATCATTTGTACATAGATAAGTCATCAATGGATGTGGCAAAGTACCTAAAACCCAAAGTAGTTTGTCACTAGATGGACCTCAGGCACTGGGATGGACAAATTTAGATAAATAGATCAATCATTGGAACACTTCGGAAATGACTTTAGAGAATGTTTTCCAAGTTGACTAGAGAAAGACTTCACACTGATATCTACAGTGAAGCAAGAAATCTGGAAACTGACGAACTGCTGCGTGGAGGTATATACGGATGGTGCATTGTGGATGAAGTCACAATGAGGCTTTGGGATTGATTGTGGTGCCGAAAACGGTGCGAGGTTTGCCTGATGCAAGCAAGCCTAACAGTGCAGAAGTTGAGCGGGAATTGGCAGCTTGGAAGGAGAACTGTGAAAACCAATGAACTGCTGCCACTTTAAAGAGGTGGGTGGAGGAACATGCGGCTAGGCCTTGGGCGAGAACTAGCAGAAAGAATCTGAGATTGATGATGTGGTGGGTTGTATCAAACTTGTAACATATACAAGTGCATAACAGGTGATGGGCTACACCTATAGTGATCATAGGCATCATAGCGTCCACTTGGTGTCCCCTTGGAACCTCGCTTTGCTTTATCTTGCCTTGTCAAATAGGGCATTGCCTTAGGGATGCCTGTGTGTCCAGTCAGTCGCCAAAAGATGCCTTGGGAATGGAAGCCGACAGATATGAGATTAAAAAACCCTAGCATATGGCCGATGGGTTCTGATAAAAAATCTCAGTCACCATCGTGATGTAAATCCGCCACCTCTACTTCCAACTTGAAGCGATCTGCTGGCATCCTTGCATCCTGTGTTCTTCGCAGCTCATTTTTTCTGCTTCACTATTTGGACTTCACTTCGTTCTTTTCTTTATTGTATTTACTTTTTTTTGTTTTTCCTTTTGGGTTGGGTGCGCCAAGGGACAGGTCTGTTCACTCTTGGCTTTGTTTAGAATCTTTTTTTGTTTTAATTTTTTCTTCCTTTTTTTATTTTCTTTAATTTTCTGTTTTGGTCCTTTATTTTTTATTTATCATGGCAAAAATAAATAAATAATAAAAATAAAGAAATTTGAGTTCTGGTTTATTTTGGAGTAATTTAGCCTTCGTAGGAAGGCCAAGGCTTGTTCCATATATATCTCAAGGATGAGATTAGATTGCTATTTGCTGAAGGCATTATAGTACTCCTTGGAAATCACTCCCCCTCCCTTGGATCCTATGAAATCAGTGTAGCTTCCTCTGTATCAGTCCCATCACAAAAGCTATCATAAACCGGAAAAGAATCATAATCATACTCATAAAATGATAAAGAATGTGTAGAGATAGAATATGGCTGTCCTTTGCATTGTATTTCTTCCTGTAAATATGTTTCTTCTTGCGCCGGACTTGGTTGAAATAATCAGTTAGTTCTGTAACAAACTAATCCATTGAGCAAGAATTCCATTTTCCTTTCTTCTCTATTCTTTTCATGGTATAGGAGTGATGAAGATCTGTAAAGAATCTTGAATCTTTTCCACTTTGTGAATGTGGAAAAATGGAGTGCAGCTGCGATTTCATAGAAAAATGAATGGCAATTGAGAACAGAAACAAATTGATGCAGTTCCTGGTGAGTCTTAATGATGATTATAAAGGTGTTCGTAGCCAGATCCTTTCAACAGAACCTTTGCCTACCATAAGTCGTGCATTCTACATAATTCAACAAATTGAGACACAGTGAAATGTCATGCGTAACACTCCAGATTCTTCAGCATTTTTCATCAACAATGACTCAGGAAAAGGGAAGAAAGAAGGCAAAGGCCAGGAGATTAAAAATACTGCAAGTATTGGAAGAGTGAAGGACATGCTTACGAACAATGCTTTAAAAGAATATGTTACCCAGATTGCTACAAAGGATAGAGAAACAAGAAGACTTGTTCTTCAAAGTTGGCAGCACACACTATGTGTAATGAAAGGAATGAGGATCTCTGCATGGATACTTCTTTTGAGTGCAGCAATGGGAATCAAGAGAATAAAATACAGGTGGACAAAGATCTTGTTTCCACCGTTTGCCAATAGGAAATAAAGATGTTTAAGGAGAGGAGCAGAGGACTGCCCAAGGAGATTCCGCTGAATTCAGCTTATCCACTGCTAATTTTCATGTATGGCACTTGATCCTTCCTTTGTTTTGTTTAGCTTGAGCAATAATGTTGGTTCAGGGAGTCATTAGATAGTTGATACAGGTGCATCTGATCACATGTCACTCTAGTTTAAATTGTTTCATAACACTAGAATCCTGTCTGATCCCATTCCTATTACCCTACCTGATGGCACTGTTAAAAAGGTTGACACAGTGGGTCAAATCACCATCAGTTCACTCCATTCATGCCATATCCTTTGCTCTCCCCCAAACGGATGCCCTTCATGCCGAAACCCTTGTAGTTGCCCAGACTCTAGCATTCTACAAGATCGTGGATTGCTTCATTGAGGTTGATTGCATGCAGATAATAAATCTTCTCTATGGATATCGCTCTCCCTCACCCTCTCTCACCAAGACGATCTCCTTCATATCTACGCGGATCAGCTCTAGGCGGTTAACATTCACCCACACTTTTAGAGAAAGTAATGGGCCGGCCCATGAACTTGCTTCCTCTAGATCCACTATTTCTTCTCTTAGAACTTTTGATAATTATGCTTCATTACCTTCTATTGTAAAGGGATCTATCCCTCTTGATCTTTTTGTACCTTTCATCTGCAAATCCTTATAAAATCGATATTTCTCCAAAAAAAGACATACATACATAGACACACACACATTATATACATACATACATACATACACACACACACACACACACACACACACACACATATAGATATAGGGATTGACTCCAGTGAGATGACACCTTACGGTCAAATGGCGCAAAGCTCACCACTGCCAACTGCAAAGCTCCAATGACAACTATAAAGCTCACCAAATTGTAAGGCAAAGCTCACCATATTTTTTCAACACTTTGAATTTTTTTGAAAAAATAAAATCAAAGAAAGGGGTGCTGACTGGACTTTGACCGTTGACCGAGACCTTTGACCGTCACTTGTCGCCTCCGGACACCGCCGGTCTCCGGAATCCTCCGCCGCCTACCGCCGCCGCCGGTTGCCAGAATCCGCCGTCTGCCGCCAGCTGCAGGCAACCACCGCCACTGGCCGCCGGAATCCGCCGCCGCCCTGCCGCAGGTACCGGAATCCTTCGCCGCCCCGCCGCCGGTCGCCGGCAACCGCCTCCGCTGACCGGTGGTTGACCGGTGTCGCTATTTTATTTTTTATTAATTTTAAATATTTAAAATAAAAAAAAAGGTTAGTTTTGGTGTTCAAAGTGGTGAGTTTTACTTTATTTCTAGGTGAGCTTTGCATTGTCCATTGGTGAGCTTTGTAGTGTAGTGTGGTGAGCTTTGTGTCATCTCACCGAAGCATGTCATCTCACTGGAGTCAATCCCTATATATATATATATATATATATATATATATATATATTTCAACAATGAAAATTTCACTTTGAAATATTAATTTAAACTTCATGTGTGATCAATTCTTTACTTTGAGAATTTCGGGGAGATTTTCGAAAGCCTCGTCTTGCAATGTTTGTGTTTGTCGGTCATTTGAGTCATTGTCAAGACTTAAGAAAGTCTTCAAAGTGGATCTTTTGAAGAGGGAAGGGCATGTGAAGGTCCCTTAGTGGATGTTGAACAGTTGGCTCTGATACCAAGATGATAGGGGTGAGATAAGAAAATGGCGGATTCACAGATGATGTATGTGGTAGGACGAAAATGGGGAGTTTGTTGGGAGTGTATGCGTTCTTTTTGTTATTTTTATAAAAGAAAAAAAAAGGATTACGCGGAGGTACGGAGTAGAGTGTAAATGAGAGAGAAAGGAAGAATAAATTTAGGTCGTTGTTAAGAGATATACACGCTCTTATCTTAATTTGTGATTTGTTATCTTCACTCAAAAAATTATTGATCTACTAGTGTATAAGTTTAGTCTCCTAACACGCACTCATAACACGCACTCATAAGTAGCCAACTTAAAAGAAATTTTATTAGGAAATGGTTTGAACAAGCATCACATTTATTTGGGTACTACTCAAAGGGTTTTAGTTCATAATTCAATTCTATTAGTCTATTACCATGGTGAAATGGCTGAAATATATGTAGAAGGAAGACAAACAAACATTGAAGACTAAACTAAGAATTCACTTCACACACACATTCAAGGAGAATTGAAGGAATAAATGTGTTGGGAGTCTTTCAAAACATGTTGCCACAAAACATCGAGAGTTCCTATCACGCTACCTTCATTTAAGGGACGTAAATGTGCATTATTCCACCAAATATTTTGTGCTCCTACATGCATTATCACGTGAGAGGTCTTCTTTGGTGAGCTATTAGTGAGTGTGGGATAAAATGACATGGATTTTTGTACATTATGGGATTCAAACTTCGGTCTTGTCACTCACGTGAAGACTAAGATCAAAGATTTGTTTTGAAAATGGACTAATTTTGAGCACTAATGATGACTAACATGGAATAATGGTTTTGTTCTCCTTTGTTTAATAGTTTTTGCTAGGGGTAAAAACAATGCGGCAAGGACCTTCTTTAATTGTGTAATAAGGTAAAGAATGTTTTTAAAAGGCGAGACATGGCGGGGGGGAGGGGTGTAGAAGTTTGCACATTTGGGCCTTTGTTATTTTAGGATGAATAAATTCAACCTAAAATGGATCATGATGCTTGGAGATTAGGGTCTTGAATTCATTGCGCACCTGTGGTTGGTGGTTTGCAATGTAGAGCTGAGCCCGGGTACATCAATACACAGGCCTCATCTCTATGGCCATGGGTAGAGATGTTGCTTCTAACTGAGCCGTAATAAACAATGACTTCGTAGGAGCCCCAGGTCATGCAATGTCACATGAACCATGCCGGTAGTAAAATGTGTAATCAGTATTACAATTAAGACTCCTTTTTTGAACTTGTAATACTTCCTCTATCCGGAAAAGCAATCCCCACTCTGACTTCATGGAGTTAAAGAGAAGTGTTGAAAAGTGTGCTTTAATTTTTTTAGAAGAGATAAATGTTGTGAGCCACATATTTCTTTCCTTGAAAGGAAATGGGAAAAGTGGAAGTTGATTTTGGAATGGACAAAAAAGGAAAGCAAGAAAATTCTTTTTTGGAACAAAGATTTTTTTTAAAATTTATTTTCACGGGAGCGAGTAATATTATTGCATGGGCGGGGGTGGGGTGGATATATGGATGTGTGTACCTTTTAATCAATAACCTTACCAATGCAGGTTGCACAAGTAACAGAAGAGGTTGCTTGCACTGTTATTGATATGTATCCAACTTTGTTTTCTCTTGCACAAGCATATTCTCTTCTGGTGCGCTCTCTTTTCTCTTTCCTCTGATCATTATGTATCTTGTTTTTCTTTTATGTGATGCCTTAACTTTGACAAGGTGTTATATTGGTCTACCTAGTTTATTCTACCATTAATATGTTTGGATAGGTTATGCAAAACAATCATTAATACGGAGTATGAGTTTAGCCAAAAATGGAAAATCAAAAAATGAATTCCAAAAAAACAATGGAACATTGAACAGAATTCATTTTATGAGTTTCCATACAAACCCTCAACGGAAATGTTGTTTTTGGAAAATTTAAAATAGATGCTATTGCCAATGTTGATTTTGTTCACCACAAACTTTAAACACCCATTAATTAAATAATTATACATTCCATGCACAAAGTGAAAGAAACAATAATGTCATTCCATTTGTCTCTCATCAGGAAGGTGACATACGAGCACAGGAGGAATTGCTCAAGAGACGGAGCAATAATGTAATCAGTGCTACTGTTAGCAAGAATATATTCCAGCTGATTTGGGGGAGTTAATCTAGCACGTATTTTGTATTTTGATCACTGTTCAGAGTTGATAAGAAACGGGAGGGGGGGGGGGTTGAATTTCCAATCTCATAACACAACACAAGTTGTGAATAGGTGATAAGTTCTGTCTAGTAGTTTTTCTGTCTCAATGGTTTTTTAGTATGCAAGAATTTGCGGGCTAGAGATAGCTGCTTTGTTCGAAAAAATGTGTATTACATTAAAGGCAGTATTTTCTTGTGGCTGCATACAATATTCATGTCTGAATGCATTCAGATGTTTTTCCTATTAGACTCTACTTTCCGATATTTTTGGTGATCCGGAAGCTATCCCTTACAATCCCTGTTGCTGCATTTACGAACTGCAAAATTTAAACGGGAAATGTTAAAAGATATTCCTGACAAGTTATACAGATGCATGTTCCTGTGATTGGTTTGCATATATCCTGTAAACATCTGACCTCAAATTTGAGATCTTTCTTTGTTGCATGCAGTCTTGCATATCCGTATTCAGATATTCTCACCAAACTCCATTTTTCAGCCTGAGCACAGAAATTTCAGTGTTTGGTTAGGCAGTAGAAGAGATGAGAGAACAAAGGGATGGGACAGGGAAGTGGTGGGCCAGAGTGCACTTACAATGCTGGGGGAGGGGTCCAAGCTATACCCAGCCATTCCAATAATCACGTGAACAGGTGCACTGTTGTTAACATAAGTGTCTTCTCCATTTCCACCTTTTACAGGCATTGCTTTGCATTGATTTCCATAAACAGCACATGTCCTCTCATACTTATGAACATGACCCCACAATGCGATATCAACCTGTATCAAACTTCCCAACTTCAGTTCTGATATACCTACATAAGGTTTGCAGTCCTGCCTGAGTTTATTGATGCATGCACTAACCTCGTTCTCTAACAGCAGTGGCTCTATTGCATGAACAAAATTATTGTCTACGCTCTCAATTAGCTGTGTTTCATCGGAAGAAATGGAAGAATACATGGGGCGATGCCTGTATTATAGAAAGCCATGTGAGGAGTGCCAATTATCATACCACAAGACTTCGCTACTTACAAGTATGGAAGACTCCAGGTTTAACGTTCACCAAGTCCTTATTTTACCCTGTAAATATTAGCCAAGGCGTTCTTTCACGATCTATAGCACCCATGTCCCTCTTCATCCATTCATACTACATGGCAAAGAAGAAAGTGTGTTATCTGCCAATGTTTTTTGTTTGTTCTGGTTCTATTATATTGGATCTAACTCATCCTTTAAAGGACACTCAAGAAGTGTGTTTTACACTTTTACCTCACACTTATATAGTTATATATTAGATTCAAACTTAGTAGACAACTAATGTGGACAAACTCCTTCAGTCCATACCAGGTTTGACAACTAAAATGTGTGGACAAATGGATCAAACCAACTCCCATTATGGGCTTCCCCAAACAATCAAGTGGGCTGAAGCTTCATAAATCACTATCGGATTAGATCCGGATACTTCTTGAATTGGGTAACTCATCGCAAAATGAACCCAAAGAGGTGAGATTCACATCACGGTTTTATATTAGACTCAAAGTCTCAAACTCAATCGACAAGTGATCCCTGAATATCTTGAAGTTACACTGGGCAAGGTTTGAGCCTAACACTTTATTTAATGGCAACTGATTCTTACGGGGAAAAGTATTGTTCAGCCACAGATATGTTTCATGTTGAATGAACTGAGTGATGATATTTGTGCACATTTAGAACTTGTAATTATACCTGCTCTGAGTTAACAAAAAAATCATTCTCTGTGGAAATGACAGTAAAGTGAACACTTCCTTGCTCTATAGAATACCAAGGCTTATCCTTGGCTTGTGTTGGCATTTGAAAGTATGTCTCGTAAGGTATTCCACATTCGCCACCTGAATCTGGCGTCTTGTAAACTGATCCTGTTCCTATATAATCTCTGAACGCATGACATAGAGTGCCTAGTTAGTTACACAACATTGTTTCAAAAAAAGTGAACCAATATAAATAAATAAATAAATACATATATGTATATATATACATCTCATGGTTCCCGATTGCAGTCATGTAAGGAACACGAGAAGCAACTGGAGTTATGAGGTGCAGGAAGTAGTCCCATTCTACTAAGAACCCGGTGGCGTAGCTTATGTCACCAATGTGGAATACAGAATCTACTTTCCCTGCTGATATCTCACGTTCCATAGCATCCACCACTGACAAGGATCCTGGCTGAAATCGTAGATCTTTTTATGAATTGAATTATAGAGATAAGTTGTTATAGTTGCAGATAAGTACTACTACATGCCTGGATGTAGTGTTCTATAGAATTGTCACGAGGAGCTTTGCCCATATCACCAAATACTATAAATCGTAGCTCATCTGATCCTCCAGCAGGCGCTGTTTTGAATGTGATGTTGCTACTCCAACCAATTGAATCACTGCAGTATGATTGTACATACACACAAACGACATGAATGTAATTTTATTCTGACAGACATAGAGAAGACTTTAGTTTTTGTTTTCTTATCATAGTATACCTTCCCAGAGTATAGGTGTATGTCGTTGAAGGATTGAGTCCTGTCATGACAGCTGAATGGGCATATCCCGGATCATGCCATCCAAAGTCTATGGCTGGACTTTTTGGAATAGAACCTTTTCCCAGTTATAATCAACCAGTAAACGATTTAGACTTACTCAAAGAATATGGCTATAATTACAATGAAAGAAATGATTTAGTGGTTGGTCATGATAGTTGACTTACTGCACATTTGATCTTGAGTAAAAGTGGTAACCTCAGATGTCTGAGATCTTCCATTGTCGTAACGAACTTGTTGAGGCATTTTATCCCCACTAACCCACGTTACTCTCATCTGCAATTGTGAGAGACAGATGTTGGGAAATCAGATTCTTACTCTCAGTGCTTCAGGAGCACCAAACACACTGTGTTCATGGGCCGGAACCTATTCGAGCCCCCCACCTAATGCAGTGGTTAGTGAACTGTGTGTTTGGTCCCGCCTGAACACTGAAGTCTTTTTCCTTGCATTTGATCATTGGAAAAAATGCTATTTTTAGTCTTACTGAGGTGGCAGTGGAATCAATGCTGGACAGATGAGGGTACAAAGGGCTGCTGGGATTGGAGAAGTTTAGAGGAGTAGATCTCTTCAAGATACATGGCGTCTCAAACCCACCGGCAAACAGTACAAATTCGATCTCTGTTCTGAAGTTGATTACATGAAACGTCAGTGTGGCACTGTAAGTGTGCAATAGGCATAATTTGTCTATGCACTTCTTTTTTTTGCGGTTGAGGTAATCTGGATCACTACTCAAATATTGTGCCTGCATCCATATTCATTTCACCACTGCTCACAATCTTCTTATTACATATTAATCTTACATGAATATGCTACTGAACTGATCTAAATAATCTATCTCAAATTCCATCCTAATTGATGTGCATTTTTTTTTGTTCAATTGAGGTTCCCTATGCTGAGGTTCCTTATCTAGTTATGTTGCATGTTCTTGAAACCTTTATGTTTGAGTACGTGAGACGTCGTCATAGTCGTTTTTTTTAATTTGAAAAGATTTCCTTCCCCCGTTTGAGTATCTGTCCTCGTTTTGGTGCAACTTAAGAGGCTTGGCTTGTCTTCACCAACCAGTGGTGGCGGCTTGGAAGGTGTGCAAAGTGTGCACCTGCACAAGGCTCCTAAACTTTTATGCTCCAATATTGTTAGATATTATTGTTCTAAGTATTTGATATATTTAAACTTAATCTTTCGAATGTATAAATATGTATTTTAATAGTCGAAGTGTTATAAAAGCGATCTTTAAAAATTACACTTCTTTTTTCCCAAAATTAAAGTCTATTTTGACTTTCTTTGGTCAAAATATGACATTTTTTTAGCACAAATTAAATATAGTTTCTAAAAATAATTGTTATAAAAATTTAGCATATCAAAACTTCTTCATTTAACATTTTTACTTTATGACTATATATTAAGCCTAATTTAAGCACTAAAGTAGGGATGAATTGAGAAAGTCAAAACAAAAAAGTTAGTTTGTCTAAATTTGTTTGTTAATCAAATTGCGAACCTAGTTCCTACAAACAAATGTGTACTTCCTAATCTTTTTTTTTGTTTTTTTAAATAAACACTGCCTACATCATTTGATTCAACATATTTTTATGGTGGATTAAATATTTAATACTACCTCCGTCCCATTTTATAACGCCTGTTTCGGTTTACGATGTTTGACTGAAATTATTTTTAAACCATTTTATATGACAAATGGTATAGAATTAAAAAATAAAAATTACATATTAAAAAACTACATCAAAAGATCTACAAAACTAGTAGTGACAATAATATTTTATTTTATCAAATTGCTAACGAAAATAGAGAAAAAAAGTAAATAAAGTTTGACCCTGTGAATAGTAAACATGCATTATAATTTGGGACGGAGGGAGTATATTTTATTACTCCCTCCGTCCCATTTTAAATTGCCTGTTTGCCTTTTTCTCCGTCCCAAAATAAGTTGCATATTAGTTGTTTTCGTAAACTTTTAAAAATAAAATACCTAAACTTACCCCTAAAATAAGTCACTCTTTTTCACCTTATTTTCTCATTCATCATCACCTCTTCTAAAAAGTAATGACAATTTCGAAAAATCAACTCTATTTTTTATTTTCCTTAAATATGCCCAAAAATCAAAATAGGCGATTTAAATTGGGACGGAGGGAGTATAATTTAGTAGAAATTATAAAAAGTTGGTATTACGAAAGTTTATAACGAGACGAATCTAACAAGATTTTATATGATTATATTTCCTTAGAGATCACAGAGGATGATTAAATGCAAGGCTCCGTTTGGTATGGAATTAGAAAGATTAGAAAGATTTTATATGATTATATTTGAGAAATATTCCACAATCAGACTTTTATGAACTATACTAGAAAATAATATTTGGGTCAAAGAGTGTTTTTCTTCCTACTTAGTCTGATCCCACCCTTTATGGCTTTTGCGTTTCAGACAAGGCTAGTTGTTCGCTTACTAGACATCAGTAATTGGCGACGAACAAAAAAGCAACAAGTTATTTTACGGTCCTCTGCTGAAATTGAATATTGAGCTATGACTAACTTTTGCTGTTTGTGAATTAAAGTGGTAACAGAATTTATCATCTTCATTAGCTGTCAATCATTCTCATCTCATGCATTTCCTCTGTGACAATCAAGAGACTCCATTTTTCTGCTAATTCTGACGTCTCATGACGTACCAAACATATTGAGATAAAGTGTCCTTTTGTTTGCGATGAATTTCAAAAGAGTTAGATGTTCCAAGGCAAAGAGAGGAAAGACTAAAGAGTCAAGAAAGGAAAAATCTCCCTCTTTACGTTTAAGACTTTAGATTTACTTAGTAGAGTTCAATGCATCTTTTTTTTTTTTTTGAACAAATGCACACAATTTTTATTCACCACATCAACTAAAACGAGTACAAATCAAGCAACCACAGCAAGGCTAAACAAGCATCCCTAGCTTAGCCACACCTTTTTTAACTTAGTATTAATATAAACTCTAACATGATCCCTAATCCAAACACTACATTCGTCAGGGGGTATAATATTATTCTGCTTAATTTTGGAGTTACGAGCATGCCATATCGCATAGCATACTGCTACAAATCCAGCTTCTACCGTTTGTCTTTGCAGCCTTCCCTTGATCATCTTGACTTCCTCTAGCATTTCTTCATTAGTTTTCACCCTCCATTGGTGTTGCAACCACTTGCCAACAATACTCTAGACACATTTTGTATAAGCACACTCATAGAATAAATGTTGCTGATCTTCAATCCCACTTTCACACAACACACAGGTTGTGTCCATCTCCATATATTTGTTCAATCTGTCTTTCGTAGGTACTCTGTTTTTCCAACACAACCATTGGAAGAATTGATGTTTAGGAATAGAGAGCTTATTCCATACTGTTTGATATGCCCTAAACATACTGCAATCCCCCATGAGCCAATCATACCCTTTCTGACTAGAATAATCCTCATTACACCCCATTCCAACAAATAGGTTTCTATTATTCAAAATCTTCCTCAAATAGTAGCATATACCTGCCTTTGGTTGTAGGTTCCATATGGTATCACACTTCAGGTACCTATTATGGATCCATTTAACCCACAAAATATCTTT